CGGGCTCGTACGAGCTCATACGGACTCGGAATCGAGTTCCGTTTTTTCCTACTTGTCCCAACGAGCCCCTCTACAATTCTAGCATACATAATGCATATTTATGGCTCGTTTAGTTTATCCAAGCATTTAATAAAATATAATGTTTGTGAACCCTACAACCTTTTGAGTTGTTTAAACTCAATTAATTAAAATACAACACTTAGAATTAATTTCTCATTCACCTTTAAAAGGTTTTGAGATTTTTTTATGTATTCTACTTACGAAAAATAGAATCGTTAAATCGGTACATAACCAATTTTTTCTTACAGTAATTGATGGTACATAGTGCAAACAAAATTAAAAGCAATAAACTCACGTTCAATATGCTTCCGGAATTTGGCCCACGTCATGATTTTAGGTTTACCTAGTCGTCATCTCGAGACCTTCAGGTGTTGCCACCAAGCAACCGTTCGCCCTCTCAGCTAAGTTAAGATAAGGCCCACCCGATTTTCATCTCGAACGTCCTTATATTCCAAAACTGCTTCGACCGACGCAAGCCAGTTGAGAAAATCTATTACGCTGAGTCCACCAGAAAGTGTAGAATATCCAGGCAGAACGAGCTCTCCCAACATCGATCGACGTGCGCCTTCTTGTCTGCTTATGGATTCTCGAGCCCAAACAGATTAAACTCCTCCACTGCAGCATCAAAATCGCCTCCCTCCTCCTTGCACGACGTCCTCCTTCCGCCACAAAATCGTGCCTGACCGCGACTCCCACGACCACCACGAAACCCTCCGCGACCACCATCTCGTCCTTCGAGCCCATCATGGTTCATTTTGTCGCGTGGCATCATTGTCTGCAGAGCCAATCGGATTTCCTCCATGTTTGCCGAGAGGTCCGACATCTCACAACCAATTGCCTGAAATTATCGTTCGATACTTTCAGAAATTCGAGTGAGGATTTGATCGCAACATCGCGCCTATCGTCGGCCGTTTCGTTCTGTTTTGGTGGCATCTCGGATCGACTGAAAGGGAAAAAAAAAGGTAAAAATATCAAACACATAATTTTTCTTATTCAACAAAAATCGGTCGTTCAACCCAAAAATAAAAGAATAAATAGACTCCTAACAGACTCATAATCTTGTTAAAAATGTCTAACTTGCTAAACAAGTCTTTATTCCAAAAGATAAATATTCTTCTAACAAACTTAATAAGGGAAAGATAATAATAATAATAATTATGGAAGTAATTAATTAAACTAGAGCCGGGATTCGGTCGTATTTCTCCAAAAAAACCATCGCGAGCTTGTCTCCATAACTTTTAATACACTCTTAAATTATTATTTAAATTGGCTTATCAGGTAGTTTTTACCAGATATTTATTAGATCAGCCATAAGCCATAAACGAGTCGGCTTCGGTTTGATTTGGTTCGGTAAAATGAGCTAGTCTGAATAAAGTTAATTGAGTGAATAATTTTAAATTTGTAATTAAATAACATTTAAGATGTAAAAGCATGGGGGAATTTATTGAAAGTGGTATCTATTTAAAATTATGCAAGTAGATGAATAAGTAATTAAAGTTGACGTGATGTGTGAGGAAATTTGATTGATATTGTTTAATTATATCGATAAAAAATATGAGAGTTCGATTGTGTTGAATTTTGATTAGTATAAAATCACTCAATACGTCAAAACCGGTTATGAGACATATCCAATTCAACTCTCATACTTTTTACCCATATAATTATATTGATAACATATAGCATAGTTGAATTGCGTTGCGTTGAATTTTAATCGGTATAAAATAACTCAATCGTCAAAATCAGTTATTCGACTCATATCCAATCGAAAAAATAATTTAGGGCTTGCTTGTTTATAGATATTAGTTTTTTATTTTTTAATCATAATTAGTCGAAAAAAATTGACATGGTAAGTTAAGTTGTTTTGATAGGTAAGGATGAGTAATTGATATTGTTTAATTATATTGATCATACTGAGAAGAGTTAAGTTAATGTGTTTGGTAAGCATACAAGATAGCTTAAAGTTTATTTGATTAGCTTATAAGTTCTTATGTTCAACTAAATTTGGTTTGATAGGACGAACTTTTTTAAAAATATCTTATCATAAGGTAGCTTTCAGCCATAAGTCATAAGTTATCAGTTATAAGCTCAAAAGTAACTTAAAAACTATAAGCTAGTTTATCCACTATAAAATAGTTTATCAACTAAGTTTACCAAACGTAGTCTTGTTTAGATCTTGAGTTTATCCCCTCCGGCAAAAAACTCAAGCAGATGAAGTTTTCAGCGCCCCTCATATTCTCGACAGCAACCGTCTTGCAACTGCAGACTTATAGCATTGTTCCGAGCCGATGGAGTTCGATTGCCTTTTGTTCGTTAGATCTGGTTTGATTGGTGAAGGCGTCGACTTTTTGTACGTGCTTGTCGGGTCCACTCCCTTGGCGTTCGTTTCACTCCCAATTAATGATCGCGAGAGTTCAGAGTTGGGCTGAGACATGTCTCACCACCAAATTTGAATAGTCGCTTGAGTAGGTTGGAGTTGTCGAGTATGGGCTTAGATCTGCTGCTCTCTTTTGTTATTGATTGTGGAGTTTAGCTCGTTGTCGGATTTGGCTCGAGTGCTGATTTGAGTGGTTGTAGAGGTGTGCTTGCGAGTTGCATGGGTGATAGTATTATAGGGAAATGTTACGGTCTCATTATAGAACCATTCCGTCGGGATTTGTAATCGTTAGATCATCATGTAACCATCGGGGATAGTTGATCTAATGGTTACAAGTCCCGACATAATATTTCCGTAACGGAACCGTAGCATCTCCCAATATTATATTGTTAATTAGATGTGCGTTGTTATTTGATTTTGTTGTGTGCTTTTGGGTATGTGGGTGTGTTATTTTTCATCGCTGGAGCTTTCATTTTTCTCACGTGAGATTTTAGTTTTGTGCGTTTAGTTTTGTGTTGTAGTTTGGGGTTAGGACTCTAGGATAACTGAGAGTAGTAGTACTTAGTCCCAACTAGTTTCAATTTAGTAGTTGATTATGTAGTTTTGTTGTCATAGCCTGCAAACATTTGTTTGTTTCTTTAATTTATAATATATATATATATTTTTCGAAACAAGAAAAATTTATTAAACCAAAAAACACGTAATTACAATTAGTAATCAACTAGAATAGCCAAACAACCAAACGGTTGAATCTAGGAGGCCTACATAGAGGTAGCCTAGAATCAAACTACACTAACGCACCCACAGCACAACAAACTATACAACTCTCAACAGGAGAATAACACGACTCCCAATAAGAGAATAACACGCTCCCAAACGGGAGAAAAGCAACAACACAACAACTAAAACGTAAACAAAACCAGATAACAACACAACACGCACAAACTAAATGAAAAGAAAAAAATAAAACAAGCCCTCCGCAACCACCGAAAGCAACCGAGAACTACCAAGCAACACTGATCCCAAAGAAGGAAGAACAACCCGCCTAAATCTAGAAACTGCACCAAGGACCTAACTAGATCCGAACCCAAATGAGCCCGAACTCCAATCACCGGAGTCACACGAACTACACCGAGAGCCTAACACCGATCCGGCCCCCCCAGCACCAAACCGGGACAGCAGTCAACCAACACCGATGGCAGCCAACCACCCCCCGTCGGACCCAAACCGCTCCAGCACCAGGAAAGGGAGAGGATCCAGGGGACCAAGAGATGGCATCGGACTCAGGTAGGATTGTAAACAAATCGAATAAAAGCGAATACTCAGAGATTCGATTCGATTCGTTTAAAATATTCGAAGATTCGATTCGATAACGAATTCATTTTTTGATTCGTATTCGATTCGTTTAGAATATTCGAACATATTCGATTCGATTCGAAATTCCTTTTAAAAAAATATTATAATTAGGAATATAACAATATATATACATATACTATAAACAAAATGTATATTATATATAATTTGTAAAATTTATATAATTATTGTTAACGAATCGAATATTTGAATTTCGAATCGAATATCTACACATTCGGATTCGAATTCGTTATAATTTTGAATCTAAAACATCATTCGAATTCGAATCTTTCGAATTCGAATCTTTCGAATTCGAATCACGAATATCGAATTCGAATCACGAATCGAATAAAAAATATTTGATTTGTTTACAACCCTAGACTCAAGCCATTCCCACGCCACGACAGTGGAAGAAGCCGGTGACCGCAACCTCTCCGCACAAAAGTTGGGCTGCACCTAGAGTGTAGATGAACCGAACGTTAGCGAACAAAAGCTCGTTCGTGTTCGACAAAAGCTCGTTCGTTTGTTAATCGAGCCGAGTTCGAACAGAATCTTAGGCTCATTTAATAATCAAACGAACACGAACTCATTCGTGAACGTTCGATTATGTTCGCGAACATTAATTTAATATAATTTTATTTTAATATTTTTTTTTATATATTTACATAATATTTTTATTAAAAAATCTAAAATTTAATATACTTTTATTTATTTTCTATATATTAACATAATATTTTAATAAAAAAGTATAATTATTATAAAATTATTTTAATTTTATTCTTTTATTTTTGAGTTCGAACGAACAAATTTCGAGTTAATCGAACATATTTAAAAAGTTTATGTATTAAATTATTCGAACACGAACGAATTCGAACACAATTTTTTTCTCGAAAAAAAAAACGAACAAATGCGAACATTGTTCGAACATAAACGAACACGAGTTTGAACAACCCAAGCTCGGTTCCGTTCGATTCGATTACAACACGCACCCTCAAGATCCGTGATGGCCACCAGATTCGAGAAAAAAAAATAAAAATTATTTGAGTTAAAAATTGTTTTTTTATTTATATCTTTTGGTTTTGTTATTTTGTTTTTTTATGTTTTTTTTAAACAAGCACGGCTTTGTTTTCCAACATTCGCTCAGAACTGAATCACATAAGCATACGGACCCTCTTCATCTTCAGTGTATGCGAAGTACAATTTCGTCTCAGCCATGGGAACCAGCGGTCCATCTCCTCAGCTCAATCGGTTTCTCCTCCTATGCCTTTACCTTTTAATGTGGACGGCGTCCTTAGCTTTTCAATCCGACGAGCTCCTAATAGACGATGAAGAGTTCGGGCTCGAGGGCGGCCGATCTCCCGACCCGCCAGTAGCAACCCGACCAGTTTCAACTCCTCCAGCGTATCGCAAGAGGTCGGTCGATTCGGGTTCGGATCCGGACTCTAGAATTCAATTCACCCTCGAACACGCTTTTGGGGATTCCGATTTCACACCCGCCGGAACATTTTGGGCTCGCCTCAAAACGTCGTCGCACGGCGGTCAGGTAGCGCGAAAACCTAGCACGAGTTGGTGATAGTTACTGTACTGCACCGAATTTGGGTGAAATTTGATGTGTCTATTGAGCTATCGATGGGGGATTTACTGGATGAAATTGCGGCTGGACTTATTAAGGGCTAATAAGATCATGTTATTTTTGTTACTGGAGAGGAAATAGTTTGGTGGCATTTTTTTCACTCTTCGTGCTAATCATTTTTTAGTATAACCATTTTAGTTGACCGGGTCTTATTTATTATACCCTCTGAATCATAGTGAAACGGCAGAAAGAACATAATACTAGGATGCTGAAGGAGGCAATGTATAGTGATTTGTTGCAAATCTTGTACTTCTGTTTTGTGAAGTTGGCATTCTATTGTGAATGTAGGAGTTGAAGTAAACTAAACAAACTGGACCTACTTTTACCTTCTGAAGGGTGTAATTGTGAATAAATATAGCTCTTGTTGGAACCATGTGCAGCTTTTTGCGCCTTAGTGAGCTTGAGTATATTTTAGGATACAAATTTATTCCATGCATGTGACCGCAAAAACTAGTGCAATACAGTCAATTAATAGCTGCTTTACGGAAAATCAACCTGTTGAGCCGCACTTTGGATGTATTTCGCCTACTGAAAGTTTTATTTTCTGATTTTTGTTGGGAATTTGACATATGTGATTAATGACAGACACTTACAAAGCTTCGATTCTCGAGAAATGTCTTCAGTGAGACAGAGAAGGAGAATTTCAAGGTATGCCTAAATTCTGATATGTATCTGTTGAAGATTATATTGGAGTATTTCTTCCAATAAATGTGATGTTTCTTGATTTTTCTTTCTTTGATCGACATTACAGAGACTCATGGAAGGAGACGACTTCTATAAAATAAGACTGCCTTCCAATGTTTTAAGTGCACCTGGAAGAGAGTATATAGTCTCATCTGTGAAGGCGGTGAGTGTAAAATGAATATGCTACGGATTTAAATACTTCCTTGAATGCCTATTTTGTGCTTGTAAGTGTGCCTGCTTGGCTGCAGAATATTGGATGCCTTTCAACAATTCAATTACTAAGTAAACTTTTAGATGCCTGACTTTAACAGGTTATTGTTTTGAGTATGTTGGTTGAGTCGATTTATATCTGTACGATCAGTTGGGGAACATGTTTGGTGTATCCATGGATTGATTAGAGTTGACCGTCACATTTATTTTAATTATGCTTTTTCTTTAACTCCTGGCGACATGTGGGAATAGAAATTTTGCATTTTACCCTTTTTAGTTTAAATGAGCTTGCTTGCATTTTGTTATATTCCTTTTCAAGCGATGCTAAATTGCTTACTTTTCTGCCTCTTAGCTGGTATTTCAAAGTGTCAAATGGGTGGCCCTGTCTAACGGGGTTAGAGAGATATCTGCTATTTCATACTGTATGATTTTCTAAATGCATGACTAAGTGAATGTATGTGTGCTGTTATAAGCACTAATATCTGGTAGAACATACATATAATACATCTCTGTCTGACAGTTCTATTTGAGCTGTTTCCTTCTTGCCATGAATCATTTGATCCATACAAATTCTTCTCTCTGAACATGTTTCATCTGAAAGTGGTCAACGGCAATGTACTATTGTAATTGTTGTTTGTCTTGCAGAGATGTCTCTCACCACGGGAAGCATTGGACGAGCATTTTGTTATTCACATGGTAACAAATTTCGGAGAATATTTACATATAAATACTCAACATGTGTTCTAGTAATAATAGGACTATCAACTTATTCATACTTTATAGACATAGTTTGATTCATACTTTATAGACATCGTTTGACTCCATATATTTGTATCAGAACGTAATGTTTGCCAGGCTTTTCGCTAACATGTTCTTTAAAAAAAAGGTTTTCAGAATAACTTTATTATTTTCTCAATACGCAGCTCTTTAAATTATCCTTTGCCGTAGTATTTATAATTGAACCACTTATTTATTTTCTATTCTCTCTCTGTCTCTCTCTCTCTCCCCTTTATATATATATATATACATCGTTATGGAATATGGATTACAGGAAGGTGTGAATATCTTAGCTGTTAATTATGGTCCTCCAGGATCGTGTCCGTATCCCCGTCAACTGAAGCCTGTAAGTCTTCTCCTGTAACACATGTAGATCCTTCTACTATGCAATTATGTTATATTATATCATCATGAAGGATTACTGGTCATTGCAAGTCTATCGAGAGTGTTGATGACCCCTTAATCATTGTATTAGTCTAGCTTTGTGATCCATTATCTCTGGTTTTAGCCCACAAAGTGGACTTTCAAGTCACATACGGTGTTGAAGAGCAGTGATCAGGCTCCTAGGTATGACCCTTCTAAATTGTTTGCGGACATTGATTAGTTTAAGAAAGTCTTTTATTTGAATCAACTATTTTAAAGACTTCTTTATTTTCATCCTGGGTGTTTGTCTACTCATCCGAGCTTCAGATTGCATAATTTTACCTGAAGCCCAAATATAGTTCATGTTTTTGCAACCTAATTACTCAAAATGGATTGTTTTTTTTATTCTGTTCTTCTGCATTGGTGAATTTTTCTGAGCTACTGCATCAAGCATCAAATGAGCCACTTTGCCACCCTACAACCTATTTGTTGATCTACATGTAGTTGATATACTTGGGCATATTTTATGGTTTGGCAGATATGTAGCTTGGACAGAATGAAAGATCTCAACACTGATGCAGTCCCATTTTTTTTTTCTTTCTTTTTTGGTTTAATCACTACATTTTTGTACTATAAATGAGTCGATTTTTGTGAAGCAGAACACCAATCTTCACAGAAGAAGCTATTGGCGAAAACATAGAAGGCGAAGAACCTAAGCCGCCAGAAAGGTCCTTTTGGGCTAAATATGTGAGTTGAAACTGAAGAGCTCTTTATTTCATTTTGATGTAACCAACACTATTTTCGCACAGGGTTTAAAAGAGAAAAGATGGTAATATACTTTTAATTTCTGTATTTGCAGTGGATGTACTTGATCCCTCTCGGCCTCATTGTCATGAATGCCATGACTCAGGCCATGAACATGCCCGAGGAACAGGGTAATGGGCAACCAGGCACACAAACACAGCAAGCAATTGCTGGTCGTGGTCAGGCTGCTGCTGTGAGAAGAAGATGATCGAATTTTACAGATGTTTGGAATCATTTCTTTCGGTACCCATCAATTTTGCAAAAACTATATATATATATATATATATATATATATATATATATATCTGTGTGTGTGTGTGTGTGTTTTATCATTCACAATTTTTTATTTATGGTGTTTTCGGTTAGTCGACAAAGCATTCTTGTGATATCTGTTATGAAACTAAGAGGGTTTGTTATTTCTGTATGTTCTGTAGTTTGTCTTAATTAGGACATGTAAGTTGTTGGAGATAGTTTTCACATTATCCCTTGCCTATGAAATGATTTCAAATATGAGCATAGTGCATAAAGGACCATATCGTCTTAAACGTGCATCGTTTGTGTACTGATTCCTAGTAGTGTTTCTAATGGTGCAGGTTGATATTACGATTATTCGGTTCTCGACTGGAAACATTTCTTTCCACCCTGAAACAGTTTATGCACCTTCCACTGGGTGGACCTTCATAGGGGATTGTATTAGAAATATGGACCACCGTTGATCCGTCTGTTACCTCGAATCTTGGACTTTCCTATATTTTCCATTTCTTTTCCTGACCGGTTTTTCAGCACGATTATCATTAATTAGAATAACGTGATTGTGTCTCACCTGTGCAAGAAAGTCTAGTTACATCTGTTGGGATCAAATTTGGTCCTGTACTCCTGTTGATGTGTTGTTTGGTAGCTTGGATAATGTTTGCACTGTTTTTTTCTGAAATTAACTTATGAAGAGTACCTTGTATCATTGTTTTGATTTGGAGCAACTAGACGACATGGCTTATTCATAAATGAAGATTGCCACATGTTTGAAAATATTAATTCATTTGGTATATGTGAATATACCTGTAAGGCGAGTCAAATGGCAATCAAATCAAAGTTTACTTGATATTGAGTAAATATGGAATCAAATGCAAGCCTTAGTTTTCACTTCCAGCCTTCCCTGATAAATGAGGAGAATCGCTCTTCCCTATCAAATGTGAGAAGGAATCTCTAAAAGCTGCCCTCCCCTTCCTCCTTACCCTAAGGCTGTCTCACTATACAAGTTACACTGAGTTCAGAAGAGTATAAACAAAGGAGATGAGCATGCATAATAGCTATTTCACAGGAAACCTTCCCTAGTTGATATTTTGGATTATTGTAACAGCGCTTATGTGACTCCATGTGGAACTCGCAATTATTAGCTCTTTCTCAATAACAAAGTTCTTTCTCAATAACAAATTAACTGTTATAATATGTGGAATTTACCACTAATAATAATAATAATATTATCTTTTACGTTAGGGTTAATTGTAAAATAAACCTCAACTTTTTCGCGTTTGGCAATTTTATCTAAATCTTTGGGTAATTGCAATATAATCTCGACTTCAATTTACTTATTGCAAACTTGGGTGTAGAGTGATTGATTTTAAGGATTTGTGGATCGATTTTGTATCCAACTTTTCCATTGACACGGGTTATTATGTCATCCACGTAGCAAGTTGACAATTTCCACGTATTTAATGTATATCCACGCACAAAGCCAAAAATTTCACGTCAATGTAAGCTACCGGTGATGAGTCTCCTCTTAGATCTGGAGTGAACCGGTAAATATGAGCTCCGATCTGTTCGAACCGCCTTCAAATCGACCAGTTTTTTTAAGGTCCAACCGGTTTTAGGTTCGACTTGCAATAAGTAAACTGAGGTCGAGATTATATTGCAATTACCCAAAGATTGAGATAAAATTGTCAAACGCAAAAAGGTTAAGGTTTATTTAGCAATTAACCCTTTACATTTGTTATCATCCGGATCGGTAAACCTGCATCAAGAGATTCCAAATGACACATTAAAAGGCAGATAGTCATTGAACCGACGTAATTTCAAATACCACCCCGGTTCAGGCAACAAACCGGACCGAACTACCGAAGACCGAAGTGGTCAACGACTACCGAGGTCAACATCTTCCGAGATCAACATGAACCGATGTCGTCACCTCCTTAAGCAGGTGACAAGGTGCCTACGAGTGACCCTCCTGCTCCACAAGATCCGTCATCATTTATGTGGGACCCCCTGCCTCAAACCGCCCACAAAAAGTAACTTTATTCGAAAAAGTCATGCACAGATCCCAATGTATCAACCCGAAATTACTATAAATAGCGGGCCTATGACATTTGTACGGGGATCTCTCTCTCCGAACTGAAAAAACTTGATTAAGCAACACGTAAAAGCCCATCACGGCTCTTCATCTCGGTTCACCTCGGACCGGGGCCATTGTTGAGTAAATCTTACATGTTTTACGTCCAAATCATTCAAAATTATCCACTTAATCACCAATTACATCGTTGTTACAAATCACATAACAACAACATTATTATATTGAAATGTGCATTGAAGTGTGTGCTAGTGTATGATTGAAGGCTTAGGGCTTGATTGTTTACAAATTATTTTACTCACTTTTATTTCAACTCAAAATTTAATTCAACTTTAACTCAACCCCACTATCTTTAATTTTATTTATATAATTAAATAATACAAACCAATCATTTTTACACATCACATCAACTTTAATTCACTATTCATCCACTCACATAATTTTAACTACCTATCATTTTCAATCATTTATCTCTTACTTTTACATCAAATCAATTTTAATCATTTTATTTCACATATTATTTTAATACATTCTTAAAATTCCACTAACAACTAACCGTACACTTTTTTCAAAGTTAACTATGGTTAACCAAAATAACTCATTTTGAACAAATTATTTCATAAACAATCAAGCCCTTAAAATTTGCCTATAAAAGGGGGCCAATGGGCATTGTAAATTTTGCATGGAAGAAGTGAAAGAAAAGGCAGATTATAATTTATATCCAGTTTTTACATTGCGTTCTTTATATTCCCCGCATTTTATAACACGTTATCAGTACGAGCGCTCTACCCGGTCAAGAAAGGTAGGAATATAATGATAATATATATGTATATGTATTATATTTCACTAATATACATATTACCATTATTCTTGACAAGTTAGCCTCTGTCACAGTCAAGGATATATATACATATTACTATTATTCTTGACAAGTTAGGCTCTGCCACAGTCAAAGATATATATACATATTACTATTATTCTTGACAAGTTAGGTTCTGCCACAGTCAAGGATATGTGGTATGAATATACTAAATATAATATTATTTACACATTACCATTATTATTGGCAAATTAGGCTATGCCATAGTCAATAATATTTGGTGATATGATATTATTAAATTTGGTTATGAATTATTATTCAAATTATAATAAATAATATTATTACTTATACTTAACACCCACAAATGGTTTACCCAGTAATGTGGCGTGAAATTTATAACTGTCTATTCTTGTACCCATCGTA